CCAAGGAAGATCTTGATTCCCACCATTGAGAAATAAATTGGAATTTGCCCCCTTCTGAGAAATCTGCAGTGGCCTTCCTTGTGCGTGAAGGGGGGGGAATTAAGGCATTGAAAAGCACCTGTGAATAACAGAGGAATGGTTTTATATATAGCTGCCAATAGCATACCGGCTTCGCTCAAAGGTGCTGGTTCTTACCTTAAAAGCCCTTTATGGCCAGGGCCCGACTTACCTGAGGGACCGCCTTTCCCCATATATACCCCAGGGAGCACTACAGTCAGGGTCGCAAAACCAATTGGCCCTCCCAGGTCCCAAGGACGCCGGGCTGGTTGCAACCAGGACCAGGGCTTTCTCGGTGGCGGCTCCACACTGGTGGAATGAGCTCCCGGAGGAGATCAGGGCCCCGCGGGACCTTTTTACAGTTCCGCACGGCCTGCGAGACGGAGCTCTTCCGCCAGGCTTTCAACTAGGAGCTGCCACCACTATTAACAACTTTAACAGCCTGTAGAGCCTGGTTCCTGGTCAGTTATCGACAGCCCAGGTGTACAGTTATGGAGTGTATTCATATGGAAACTGCCATCGTTATGATATCAAAGAACACAGCTAGCGCTTTAATATTTAATATGGTATTGTTTGAATTGACATGTTTTTAAGTGTTTTATGAAACCTTGAGTGTTATTATGGATTTTATCTTGTGTAAGCCGCCCTGAGTCTGCTTCGGCGGGGTAGAAGTGGAAAAACAAATAAATATAGAGATCGGGATTACTGATAAGTCCTTCCTTGCTAAATTAACTGCTTATTCCATATTCACGTAGGCCGTATATTCGAAGGGACTGCAGAAACAATGCTGGCATCACTAGACACAGCAGCTGACCTTGCAGAAGATACACTTCTGTGGCCAGGTGAATACTTTAACAGCTGTTTTACAGCTTCTTTTTATTCCATGCCTGTATGTCAGACCCTGGGGTTGTCGCATCGCATGGCACTGTGACATTCTTGCTTATAGGGGAGGCGGTTTTACCTTGAATTCACACTCTGACCGATTTCACATAAGAGCTGCGCCGCAGTCGCGCCTCCCTTTGCCCTGCTTCTATTGGCCAATTTCCCATTTGAAGCCGCGCGGCCCCATTTTGACCCGCAGCTTCGCCCAATTTTCCCCGCGGTTTCATGATCCTCAAAAAACAGGATCTTGTGTGAAATCGGTCTCTGTGTACCTAAACTTGGTAGTTTTCTGCTGCCACCAGGAATTAAAAATTCCAATTTTCTCTCTTTTGGTAGTATGACCTAGGGTCTGGGCACTTCAGAGGACTATGTGGCCCTGAGGAATTACTGTACTGATTCCAGGGTTAAGTTTAAACAAACATTGATTTATTTAATAAAGAACAAAATAGGTTTATGGCTATCTTGAACTGTTGCTGAAGAAAGGAACTTGTACATATAACTGGTGAAACTTGGTGTTACAGTCAGACTTCACTCTGACAGGCATAGACTCTCAGTATAATCTTTCTCTCTCTTCTATATAGCCACACAGACTAAACTGTTGGTCTTATTCACCCAGAATTAGACTCAAAATTCCATAGTCACACAGATCATGCTGTCTCTTCAAACTTCACACACAGAACTCCGTCCTAAAACTCAGAGTCACACAGACTCTCTTCAAAACTCTTCCATACTTGTCTCTCTCATATCACAGAATCCCCTCATACACACACACACACAGAATCCTCTCAAACACCCCTCCTCCCACACTCTCAGTCAGCAGCCAGTCAAATCGCCCTTTTCACCCTCTATCACTCTTCTCATGTTACTGCAGTCAAACTCAACATTTAAAGACACACACACACACCCAAACATGGAATCATTACAGGCACGGGTGGAGGGGGGGAGAAGAATATTCACTGCTAATGGACTGTTCAGAGGGCTCATGGATGACTGGTAGGAATACCTGAACTGATGTCTTTTTGTGCTCGATTCCCCTCCCATTTTGTAACATTAATATTGGACGTGTCTCTGTATGATTGAGACTGTGGACTGGGCGTGTAAATGCAGTCTATATGTCTCTGTATGAAACTGGTAGATGTAGATGCCACTGTCTACAGAACACGGCTGGGGCCTTGCAGACCTTTATCTGTGCACAACCCCATTGCAGCTAATTCAGGACTACTGCAGTCCCCAGTAATTACCCCACGGTATTGCTTGGGGCTTACTTCCGTAGTTTTGAGGTTACTCAGAGGAGAACGTGCATTTCTGCTTTCACACAAGCTAAATGACCTCAATAACCACCACCCGTTGGTCACCATTCCATTCCGGGGCAAGGTGCTTGAGTGGGCAGTGGCTGGCTGCACCGCCTCAAGGGATCTTGGGAGAGACTCAAGCCTAGGTTTGGAATGGAAATGGTCTTGGTCTCACGGATCGTCTCATCCACGCACTGAGACACCTGATCTGTGTCTATCTCTCCAGCCCTGCATGTGGAACAGGTAGCACTTCTGAGAAGGCTACCTTGGAGGTCCTGGCCTTGAGTTTCCTGCCTAGCCGCCTAAATTTTTCCTCCAGGACCTCGCGACTGCGTTTTCCCACAACGTTGGTGCCAACATGCACTATGACCACTGGCTCCTCCCAGCACTATCTACCAGCCTATCTAGAGAGAAGAAGAAGAAGAGATTGCTGGGTGGTGCTGGGGGAACGCTGCTCGTTCCTGTGGTACTCATGCTGTAGGTTCCAACAGGAATCCATCTTGTTGAGCCTGTGTTATTTAACATCTGCACGAAACCACTGGGAGAGATCCTCCAGGGAATTAGAGAGAAGGAGAGAAGAGATTGGATTTATAACCGGCCCTTCACTACCCAAAGGTGTCTCAGAGCGGCTTACAAACTCCTTTCCCTTCCCCTCCCCACAACAGACACCCTGTGAGGTAGGTGGGGCTGAGAGAGCTCTTGACAGAAACTGCTCTTTTTCAAGAACAGCTCTTATCAGAACTATGGTTTGGCCAAGGTCAACCAGTATGTGCAAGTGGAGGCGTGGGGAATCAAACCCGGTTCTCCCAGATTAGAGTCCGCGCACTTAACCACTACACCAAACTGACCCTCAATATAATAAATAAAACACGGGGCTTCGAGGGTGGTGGTTTTGTGAATTAGAGGAAGCACACTTTGAGCTTTGGTGGAATCAGAAGGGCTGAAAGGGAGCAACGGTTAGTCGGACTTCAAGGGCAATTGACCACACTGACGTCCTTTTCTCTGTTTTAGGACACGAGTATGCCTTAGAGTGTCTAATGTTTGCCAGTCTTCTGGAGGCCGAGAACCCTTTGCTGGGGCAGAAGCTGCAGTGGGTGAACCAACAACGGGCTGAGAGGAAAAGCACGGTGAGGAAGTGTGTGTGGATTTGGGAAAGAGAGAGAGACCGGGACAGAGATATAGTTTTTGTAGACCAGAAACTGCCACTGAAGAAGAAGAGGAAGAGGAAGAAGAAGAAGAAGAAGAGATTTAGATTTATACCCCGCCCTTCACTACCCGCAGGAGTCCCAGAGCGGCTCACAAATTCCTTTCCCTTCCCCTCTCCACAACAGACACACCCTGTGAGGTACGCAGGGCTGCGAGAGCTTTGACAGAAACGGCTCTTGAGAGAAGAGGAGATTGGATTTATACCCCGCCCTTTCACTACCCAAAGGAGTCTCGGAGCAGCTTACAAACTCCTCTCCCTTCCCCTCCCCACAACAGACACCCTGTGAGGTACGCAGGGCTGAGAGAGCTTTTACAGAAACGGCTCTTGAGAGAAGAGGAGATTGGATTTATACCCCACCCTTTCACTACCCAAAGGAGTCTCAGAGTGGCTTACAAACTCCTCTCCCTTCCCCTCCCCACAACAGACACACCCTGTGAGGTAGGTGGGGCTGAGAGAGCTCTGACAGAAACTGCTCTTTTTCAAGAACAGCTCTGATAGAACTACAGCTTGCCCAAGGTCATCCAGCAGCTGCAAGTGGGGGAGTGGGGAATCAAACCCAGTTCTCCCAGATTAGAGTCTGCGCACTTAACCACTACACCAAGCTGGGATGGGGGATAATTGATGTCATTTTGCATGGTTTATGGATGCAAGATTTAACCATCTATCCCTTCCCTTTCATTTGGTCTGCATTCATGCATTCCTCCTCCTCCCCCTGGAACCTCTTTGTTCTAAACACTGCAGGTGTTGTGGCATTCACCCAAGAACAGCGTCCTAGCTCTTCCTTCCCACTGGAAACACCTGTCTAGGGATTTTCCTGTGCGTGTCTTAGTTGAGCCATTTTGGGAGAGGGGGTTGTTTGTTTAATATTTGATTGAAATCTGGCTTATAGAAAGGCGGGGGGGGGATAGAAGAAGAAAGAAGGAAGGAAGGAAGGGGAAAAGTGGGGAAAAGCCAAGAAAAGTACAAAATAGGTTATAGTTAGAACATCTCTATCACGGGAAATATTTCATTATGAAAGGATCGTTAAAAAGCTAAAATAACATGTTGTTTGCTTCTGTTTGTCTTCAAATGTGTGCAGCGGTTTTCCAGAAGCTGCAGTATTGTTGGATGCAAGGAGGGATCCAGGGGGAGAGAGATCTGTTATCTGAAGTTCAGTTGTGATACCCGAAAATCTTCAGGCTCCACCTGAAGGTTGGCTACCCTAGGCATAGCAGTTAGCACTTCAGAGCAAGGGTCTGCCAGACCCAGGTTCTTGCTGTGGAAGCTAAGTGGGTGATTTTGGACCAGTCACAAACTTTCAGCCTAACCTACATCACAGGGTGGTTGTGAGATCAAAAGGGAGAGAGGAGAATGATGTAAGCTGCTTTGGCCCCCACTGTGGAGAAGAAGAAGAAGAGAAGAGATTGGATTTATACCCCGCCCTTCACTTGGAGTCTCAGAGCGGCTTACAAACTCCTTTCCCTTCCCCTCCCCACAACAGACACCCTGTGAGGTGGGTGGGGCTGAGAGAACTCTGACACAAACTGCTCTTTTCCAAGGACAGCTGTGCCAGAGCTTGTGACTGACCCAAGGTCACATCAGCAGGTGCAAGTGGAGGAGTGGGGGAATCAAACCCGGTTCTCCCAGATTAGAGTCCGCACACTTAACCACTACACCAAACTGGCTCTCCTGGGGAACCATTGCTGCCAATCTCTAGTGAGGGTTGGAGTTCACTCAGAATTAAAACTGCTCTCCAGATGGCAGAGATCAGCTCCCCTGGAGAAAACGGCTGCTTTGCAGGGTGGACTCTGTGTCATTATGCCCTGCTGAGGTCACTTCCCTCCTGCTTGGGTCCCCACTGAGGAGGAGAAAGACTGTACTTTTCCTAGAGGCTCCAGGTGTGTGTGTGTGGGAGAGATGGAAAGCTGAAGTCAGAGGGGCAGATAAAGGTAGGTTGATGGTTGGCTGGGAAGGAGATAGGGTTGCCACATCCAGGTTGGGACATTCCTGGAGATTTGAGGGATCGAGCCTGGAGAGGGTGGGCTTTGAGAAGGGGTGGGTCCTGAGACAGGTACAATGCCATAGACTCCACCCGCCAAACCAGCCATTTCCTCATGGGGAACCGTTGTTGCCAATCTCCAGGGGAGGGCTGGAAATCACTCAGAAATACAACTCCTCTTCAGGTGGCAAAGATCAGTTCCCCTGGAGAAAATGGTGGGCTCTGTGTCATTATACCCTGCTGAGGTCGCCATAGCAAATTGACACTGACTGTCCAAGGCCAGGGCACCCGTCCAGAGCCTCTTTCTAGAGCTCATTGTATTCATTTCCGCAACAGGCCTTATTCCTAGTAATAAATAAAGCTATATAGTAGAAGAAGGGATTGGATTTATACCCCGCCCTTCACTCTGAGTCTCGGAGCAGTTTACAGTCTCCTTCCCCTCCTCTCCCCACAACAGACACCCTGTGAGATAGGTGGGGGTGAGAGAGCTCTGAAAGAACTGCTCTTGAGAGAACGGCTCTGAAAGAACTTGTGACTGACCCATGGTCATCACCCAGCTGGCTGCATGTGGAGGAGTGGGGAATCAAACCCAGTTCTCCAGATTAGAGTCCACCGCTCTTAACCACTACACTAAGCTGGCTAAATAAAGCTAAAGATGGGGGGGTGGGGTTTTAAATAAAAGTTGGTTGGTAAGTAGGAAGGAGAGAAGCAAGTCAGGGAAGTGGAAAGGATATGGAGGCTGCCTGGAAGAGAGAGAAAGAGAGGCAATAGTGTGGGGAAGGGGATGCAGGGGGAAACTATGAGATCCCCACAAGTCTGTGTGGGTTCCCTGTTTGTGAATCTATAATGCACAACAGTGCAGTAATGTAGAGACGGGAATAACAGATCAAATCCAAACACTTTCAAACTATTCCACTGTGCGTATTTTTAAGTGTTTTGGAATGAAGGTGTTCACCTTCCGACTTGCGCTCCTATAAACATGGATATTGTAGACGACTGTAAAGTGCAGTGACTGTTGCCTCCGCTCCTTCAAATGCGTCGTTCCCATTCTGTTCCTCTCACAGTGTCCTTCCACCATTAGCGAGGAGAAGCAATACAATCCCTTCCTGCGCACTCACTGTCGGGAGGTGCAGGAAGCTGTGGGCCTCCAGTGCCAAAGGGATGAGAACTGGGACATCTTCCGGGCCCGGGTGCTGAAGGAAGTGCGACGGCGAAAGGACGTCTTCAAAGCAAACTAGCGGGGCGCTTGTGGCAGCAGTCTGGAGTGAAGCCTCTGTCAGAAGAATCGGGTCACAAAACGGGTTCTGCGCTACTGAGGGAAGGATCGACTTGGACGTCGATCTCTCCCACAATGTGAAGTAAATGGAATGGAAACACCGACGTTCAGGCTGTTTCCCCAAGTTTTGGTTTGCCAGCGTTGCGTACTCACATGACGTCAGACGGGGCCTGCAGCCTGTCCTGTCAAGCTGTCGTCTCCGGGAGGACGGAATGGATTTTTGTGAAATTCAGCGTGAAAGGGCACCTTCTTTACGTCCCATTGCTTCCCACCTTAACCTGCTCTGGGTGGATGAGGCGGTGTGGGATTAATGCTTGGAAGGAAAAAAAAAACCCTGGAAATTTGTGACTGTTTTTAAATTTTGTATGTTTGAGTGTGCCTGCCTATTTGCTAGCTCAGGGGAGCTTCCGCTCGCTCTCCTGGGTCTTGTCGCAAGCACAATTTCAACACTTTGTCCACTCGTTTGGAGAGACGAGTGCACACGTGTGAAACTGAAGCACTTTTTTTGATCTTTTAACTCCTGTCTTAGCACATAAAAAGGAACCTTCTCCTTCCTCTTTCTCGTTGTCTTGGGGCAGTTTAAGCACCTTCTAAGGCCACCCAAATCCAGGAGGAGAGGATTGTGTTATACATCTTCAGTTTGCTCCTTCTTTTCTGGCTTTTCGGTAACATTTTTTAAAAAAAACAACTTTTTTTTCTGCAGTCAAGCACACGGACTCTTCCTGAAACAAAAAGGCTCTAGTTTGTGGCACAAAATTCTTGAAAGATCGGTATCCAGGCTTGTTCAACATCCCATCACTTCTCCACTTGCCCCACAAAGCACGAGCACTCCTAGAGTTCAGACCAACAATGGAACCAGAGAGGCATACTTCCTCCTACCTGTGGGAGTTATGTGCCAGTCCGGAAACAGAGCATGGTGCGCTATGTAACTTCTTTCTATACACTTTACGTTGCAAGTGTGTCGACAGGAGAGATGTAGATGAGCATTACGGCAGTGGAGACGTTTTGCTGAGACTTGGGGCTGCGTCCACATGACAAGAATTCTCCCATTTCCTCGTCAGTGTAGCTGCACATGCACTGGCAATGAAGTATCCTCACGGAAGGTGTGTGTTCACTTTCCTCCATTAGCTGCCGCTTTCCCTGCGTTTTCCCCTTACCACTCCACCGCTAAGACTTTTGTTCTGGCTTTAAAAACAAAAAATCGGTAGATGTCTGTAGCACAACGATGGATTGCCATGATCCGATAGCTCCTCTGAATTCCCAGATTTAATTTTTTTTTTTTTTAAGGAAGTCTCTAGCCTTTTCAAACGGAACTCCAGAATTCAGAGGAGTTAGCAGGTGCACTCCATCGCTAAAACATTTGTTCTGGCTTAAAAAAAAAATCGGTAGATGTCTGTAGCACAACGATGGATTCTCATGATCCCATAGCTCCTCTGAATTCCCAGATTTAATTTTTTTTTTTTTAAGGAAGTCTCTAGCCTTTTCAAACGGGACTCTGGAATTCAGAGGAGTTAGCAGGGGTGGCAGTAGATTGTGCCCGAGTATAGCAATTGCCATTTTAAAAGCGAACCAGAAAAATCATGCCTGGCGAGGTGGTGATGTGTCTACGGGGGTGAGAAAAAAACGGTGTCAGTATGGTCAGCCCCTTCAGAAATGCAAACCTTTTCTGCCTGTGTGCTGTACACAAAGGTGTTTTCTGACCTTTCCAAAAGGATTGTTACAAACCATCTTTGGGAAAGATTACAAAGCAAAGTGAACTGCTAGGGGATGATATCATGTGAATGTTTGGGGGGGGGGGGAAGGCACTCCAGCAAAACCCTCTGTGTGGAAGCCACCTTTATTACCAGCAGTGTGGCCTTATGGTTGCTTATTGTGTGCAGGTATACGAATTAGGCTTCTATTAATATGTTGCTCTGTTAATAATGGAGAGTTGTTAAGAAGGGCTGACAATTTGTTAATTTCTTAAACATGATGCAAGTTATTTGCATTTCTGACACACACTACATTGTGTCCTGTCCTGTCTTGTCTTGGGGCTCCACAAATACTTGATAAGTTTTGCAAAAATTTAGATAATCTTTTTTGATTTTTTTTTTGTCGTGAAGTTTAATGAGCTGCTATTATGATTTCCGTCTTCAAATGCTGAGGCCCCGTGGTGTAAACTAAAACCCCTAAATACCCAAGAATAAAAGTTTACGATTGTGTACACTGTTTAGTGTCAAATCATTGAAAAATGTATTCATTACAGTCCAAACTATTCAGGTTTAATTCAGGGGGAATGGATTTCTTCATAAAGCATGAAAAGTGTAGGTTGGGCTATGCAGCTGTACGTCTCATGAAGAACTCTGAAGTTGGCGGCGGATAGTTCTGCCCATAAGAAGTAAGGCACAGCCTTGTTGGAACAAGTGTCTCTTTTCGCTGTGTAATGAATATTAAGATTGGATCTAACACAAGATTTGATTTATTCATTTATTAGCCTTATGTCCCGCCCTCCCCCGCAAGCGGTCTCAGGGCGGGTCAGCACATTCCAGTCAGCAACATGATAACAATAAAACACGATATACAACAACAGCAATTCATTTTATTCGGCCAACGACCAGTACAAGTCAAACATAAAAGCTTTAACAGTAAAGTCAATAGAAAGTAAAATTGGTCTGATCCAGGGCTATTTTTGGGCAGGAACGCACAGGAACGGAGTTCCGGCTGGCTCCCGAGTCGACCACGCCCAGCAGGAACTCATTAGCATAATAGGCCACACCCAACAGCATAAACTCATTAGGATTGGCTACATTAGGGGTGTGTGGCCTAACATGCAAAGGAGTTCCTGCTACAAAAAAAGCCCTGGGTCTTGACAACAGACAAGGTAAACAGAATAAGAAGCAAAAGGTGGGTATGGCTGGATGACACCACTTCTGGTAACATGGGGTTGCGGCCTAATATGCTAATGAGCTGTGCTGTTAGGGTGAGGCCTAATATGCTAATGAGTTCATGCTGGGCTTTTTCTACAAAAAAAGCCCTGGTCTGATCCATTGGCATCGATTGATTAAAATCTGTACATAAAATTCCTCTACGAATTCTACAGGCTACTGAATTTTTTTTTGGCACAACTAATAGTAACCTGTTGATTAGCACCCATTAAAAATTCCTTTACAATATAAACGTCGGAACATCCTGAAAGATTATTAAGTCAAGGGGAAATTATTTTAGAACACGCTTCCTGATAAAAGCGACAGGGGAATATTACATGTTACAGGGTTCTTTTTGTAGCAGGAATTCCTTTGCATATTAGGCCACACACCCCCTAATGTAGCCAATCCTCCAAGACCTCACAGAGCTCTGCTTACAGGGGCTACTGTAAGCTCTTGGAGGGTTGGCTACATCGGGGTTTGTCGCCTAATATGCAAAGGAGTTCCTGCTACAGAAAGAGCTCTGCATGTGCATCTGATTCCACCTCTTTAGTACCACACAGACAAATCCTTCATGGGAGTCTTTTTATTATATCTCCCCTCTAGAACTGCAGAGGGAAAGACACGCCATCTCACAAAACCTGATATAAAAACAAACAAACTGAATACATTTAACATCAGGGGTCGTTTCGTACAAAAAGAGGTGCAGGAGCTCATTAGCATAACTCATTAGCTTAACTTATTTGCATATGCCACACCCCCTGACATCACTGGAAGTGTGTCAGAAGGCAACACCCACCGCTCAGGCTCCACTGGACTGTTTTGGATTGCTAGCTATGGGGGGAGGGGGACGTGCAGATCTGTCCTCGCAGAGGAGGGAGAGCTTGTACCTGAATAAAACTTGGTCTTAAAGGTGCCACTGGACTGTTTTGGGCCCACCCCCTGGGCATGTGCCCACCCCCTGGGCTTTTTACTGCCAGAGCTCCGCTCCTGTGCACTCTCGCAGGAAAGGACCCCTGTTTAACATTAAAAAAACAAAGGATAAAAATGTAAAGATCAAGTTTCAGTCTAATCAAAATAGATGGGGACTGCTCAAGGCAGATTCGTGGTGCTTCCTGTGGCGATGTTCTGTTGGGTCCTTTGTGAGCAGGGCAAATTGTAACGAAACGTCATGAGCCCTGCAACAATGTGGGGCGGTGGGAGCTGGGGAGGCCCAAATGGTTAGACGACCGTCACCTCGACCAGAGGCCTGGTGGAACAGCTCAGTTTTACAGGCCCTGTGGAACTAATACATCCCGCAGGGTCCTGGTTTCAACAGGGACCATGTTCCGCCAGACCGGGACTAGGGCGGAAAAAACCCCTGGCCTTGGCCGAGGCTAAACGGACATCTTTTGAACTGGAGACTGCCAGGAGATGTTGCTCGGCGGAGCACGAAGCTCTCTGGGGCACATATGGGAAGAGAATAAATTCAGCTTCAGTTGATTGCCTTTAGCCATAGGCCCTATGTTCTGTGTGCCTCGGCATCTAGTCATGCCGGCCACATGACCATGGAAATGTCTTCGGACAGCGCTGGTTCTTCGGCTTGGAAACGGAGATGAGTGCCGCAACCCTAGAGCCTATTATACAAAAACAACCTTCCCGTTCCAGGTTTCTTTTAGTGTGTCCCCCCCCTTTGTGTTTTTATAATCTTTTGTTCCTTTTTGCATCTATCTCGTTGCTTCTTACGACCCGTATTTATTTATAATGCTATAGATGCAGTAACATAAGCACTGTTAAGAATGACGGCTGCCCAGGGGCATAATAGGATATAGGGTATTCGTATGAAACCCCCCCCCCACTGCCCTGGCCAATTAGCTACCCTCCCGCGCGCAGGAAAAAGAGCTCTGGCTGTTGAGCGCTGAAGCTGGGAACCAAACTCTCCCACGGTCCCTGGGAAAAACAGACATCAACATCACCACCTACAAAACTTATAGATAAGCGTTGCACCAGCAAAGAAGCACAGAAGGAATGCAGTAGCAATTAGAACATAACTATCCTCCCCACCCCCATGGCAGCATAGCTGACAGCGCCCCTCGGTGTGTTCGAGCCATACTTTCGGGACACAAATACTTGTCCGCAGGACTTAATTCTCTCTGGTGATCCAAAGTTCCACACTGCAGATTTAAGCAAGCATCAAATGTAACTGTTTGGAATTTCTCTGCTCTGGTGAGATGAATCCAGAACCTGACTGGGTATCCAGCCCTTCCCCTCCATTTGTCATCCTCTCTTAATTTTTCTGTGTCAGGAGCCATCGATCTTCCTCCTAGGCTCTGGATGGGGAAAATGGAGAAGAGCGTCCACACTGTGACCAATATTGGTTCCATATCCAAACAAAGATAGTGAATAATAATAGGTAATAAAGGTAATAATATTGCAATGCAGGCTTCATGCTGCTCTGGTTCTCCTATTTCATCAGTATCCCTGTTTACTGATCCAGCTGAGCTCTGAGCAGGAGACAAGAGCTGCTAGAGGGGTGAGTGTTTTTTTACTTGCTTTCAGCTGAGGGGATTCAACTGTGTCATAATAAATAGGTGATTTTAACTACCCACACATTGATTGGGTCAATATGTGTTCTAGTCGAGAAAAAGAGATTTGAGTTTCTAGACACTCTAAATGACTGTGCTATGGAGCAGATGGTCACGGAACCTACCAGGGGAGAGGCGATCCTTGATTTGGTCCTAAGTAACACTCAAGACCTGGTGAGAGATGTAAAAGTGATTGCACCGCTTGGGAACAGTGATCATAATGTTGCTGAGTTCAACATTTGTATAAATAGGGATCTGTCCTCACAGAGGAGGGAGAGCCCAACTGAGGGCTGCTGGGAGCAGGGGGCGGGGCTTGTTGCATGTGCCCACCCCCTGGGCTCCTTGCTGCCAGAGCTCCACTCCTGTGCCCTCCCGCAGGAAATGACCCCTGGGCATAGAAAAGATACAGGGCAGCAATTAAACCAATAAAGTGGGAAGGAAGAACTGAGTGGTTCTAATTGCCATCCAAAACAAGGCAGGTGGACCTCAGTTTAAAAACCTAACCTGTAAAGCTCTGACTGCTGTACTTAGAACCAATGCTTGGGGTGGAAGGAGCGTGAAATCTGGATTATCTCTGCTTCGACTACCTGTTAAAATTACTTTGTTCTCCCGCGGCATCTTGATGTGTTTTCTGGAGTTACAAGGCCGCCAATGGACAGGAGTATCTCATGCAAGAACACTAGATCCATGGGCGTAGACTTTCCAATTTCCCGGGGGGGAGGGGCCAGAGGGGCCCCGTCCCTCCCTCCCGCCAGGCAGAAGAGGCCGAAAGAAGAGTGGAGATCCAGGCCAGGAAAGGGGCATTTTATTGAGCCAGCAGGGGTGGCCAAACTTGCTTCTTGTAGGAGCCACATAGGTGAAATGTCAGATGCTCAAGAGCCACAAAGAGAATTGGGAATTTAAAAGGGGGATAATGGCGATTTCCACTGCTTCCCCTCTTCCCCCTGCAGACCCCACAACTGTGCCTTTTGCACAAGAAAAAAGACCCAGACAAGTCCCTGGTCTCCAGCAAGCCAGCTTCTGCCTCCTCCTCCTCAGCCTTTCCTTTATTCAAAGTAGCCTGGGCAGACAACTGTCCTGAGAAGAAAGAAGGTTAAGGAAGCCTTACCCTTCCATTCAAGAAGCCTATGAGCTTCTTTTTTAATGCTCCTGCATAGTTCCTTCATTACATTTGCAAGAAGGTGGCTAGAAAGTACAATCAAACCTATGAGTTTCAAGTATGTAATAAGGGCCTTAAGACAGGGATAAAGGTTGCTTATCTTTTCACCTTTGCTCACAAGACTCCACAGCTTAGAGGGAACATTGGTTGCAACGTAACTTGATTCTCCCACCCACCAGTATATTCACTACTTTCTGGGGCAGTTGTCTGTCTGGTTATTTCCCACACATGTATAGGGCTGTCGTTAATTTTCCTTAGAAACCACCATGGACTCAATTCACTCCAACTATTTCCTTGTTTGTCTGGTCAAAACCCATGCAGAGAAAGTCGGTGGAAACCTCACTCCCCATATAGGTATTCTGTACCAGGCACGCAATTGTTATTCAGTTTCTAACTCAAGACGGCCGAGTGTCCAAGTATCCAGACAGCCACTGGTGCATTGAAACAGTTGGAAAATGGATGCGACCTGACATGCAGATTCGACCACTGTACTTTGCAACCCATGTATAACTTTCAGTTGACTCGTGGAACACCCAATGCAACGTGCATATTGAAAATAAATTATTGACTAATACTACTGGAAGATGTTTGTATGACACGCAGGAATAGTGGCTAAGTAAGAGTAGAATGGAAAACTATAGGACTTTTTGAAACATTTACTGAAGGTTTGTTCAGACGAAGAGACGAAACGGAACTCAATCCAGAAGTTCTCGTCAACAACCACAAATACTTCATAATAATTACAACAATTTCATGTATCTTAAGAATCACAATTACTGCATGTATCCTTATTAATTGTATTTATTTGTCACAAGACTGTTATTTACACTTACACTTTGAGATCAATAATATAACTGATATAATGTTTGAATATATTTAGCGTCTTGTATGCCGGTCTGTTTTTTATGTTTACCCATGTATAACTGGGAATCATTACATTTACTGCGAACCACTCAAATCAGCGTTGCCCTGGACTCTATTCCAGACAACAAATGCTAAGAAGCATCTTTACGCCTAGAACCTCTAAACCAGGGGTGTCAAACTCATTCGCTATGAGGGCCAGATCTGACATAAATGAGACATCGTTGGGCCGGGCCACGCGTGTCATAAAATGTAGTGCCAGGGAACGGAGATATAAACTTTATAAAGGACACAAACACACAGAGGTTTTTTATTTTACTTAAAATTAAAAAATGCTTTAAACATTAGCACTCTTGCAACATTTTATTGAACAGTGTCTGATAACTGACACCTCTTGCTCTGAATTACTGCATCAAAACGTCTGTGCTGTAACAACCCTGAGTATGCTGTTCGGGTGTGTATCTGTAAGCCGCAAACCCACCGTGACGTAGCAGCAGCAGAACTGGAAGAAGCAGCAGAAGAGGGCCAGTTCCACTACGGGCCCGATAGAAGCCCTCCGGAGTCCTAATCCGGCCCCCACCCCTGCTGGCCCAAACAAACATACAATGTAAACTGGGTAGACACTAGACAACGAGATTTTCCACCTAAATTTTTGAAAGAGTAAGAGTCCAGTACCAATTTAAAGACTTACAAGATCTGGGGCAGAGTGTGCACTTTTCTGAGTCACAGATGAAGTGAGCGGTGACTCATGGCAGCTCATCCCGCCACAAATTTTGTCACATCTTTAAGGTGCGACTGGAGTCTTGCTCTTTTCTACTGCTACAGACGGACATGGCTACCCATCTTGATATAAGCCTTTTAAGCATCTTTAAAGAATGGCTTCTTGTGCCGGGCCTCCGTTGGAAGGCCTCTTTGCAAAAGGAGCGTTCAGACACAGGTAATCCTCAGCTATGACCTGTTTTCTACTTCTAAGTCTCCCCCACACTTTCAGGGCCATTCGAGCTCATCAGAGTTGCAGGCACGAAGCCCAAAGAAGAAGAAGAAGAAAAGAGAAGAAGAGATTGGATTTATACCTCACCCTTCACTACCCAAAGGTGTCTCAGAGCGGCTTACAAACTCCTTTCCCTTCCCCTCCCCACAACAGACACCCTGTGAGGTAAAAGGAGAAGAGATTGGATTTATACTCCGCCCTTCACTACCCAAAGGAGTCTCAGAGCGGCTCCTTTCCCCTCCCCTCCCCACAACAGACACCCTGTGAGGTAAAAGAAGAAGAGATTGGATTTATACCCCGCCCTTCACTACCCAAAGGTGTCTCAGAGCGGCTTACAAACTCCTTTCCCTTTCCCTCCCCACAACAGACACCCTGTGAGGTAAAAGAAGGAGAAGAGATTGGATTTATACCCCGCCCTTCACTACCCAAAGGTGTCTCGGAGCGGCTTGCAAACTCCTTTCCCTTCCCTTCCCCTCCCCACCACAGACACCCTGTGAGGTAAAAGAAGAAGAGGAGATTGGATTTATACCCCGCCCTTCACTACCCAAAGGTGTCTCAGAGCGGCTTACAAACTCCTTTCCCTTCCCCTCCCCACAACAGACACCCTGTGAGGTAGGTGGGGCTGAGAGAGCTCTTGACAGAAACGGCTTTTTTTCAAGAACAGCTCTTATCAGAGCTATGGCTTGCCCAAGGCCATCCAGTCAGGTGCAAGTGGAGGAGTGCGGAATCAAACCCGGTTCTCCCAGATTAGAGTCCGCACACTTAACCACTACACCAAACTGGCTCTCCCTCAACGGGAACGTACAGATGCTAAACTAGGCTTGCTTGCTTGGTCAGAAACGCACCCCTGGGACCAAAATGAACTTCAGCTCCTCAAGGGGAGGACCTCGGGTGCCTGTCATGGTGGGGATGCTCTGTGTCTTCAAGTCGTTTCTATTTTTCGTTGCTCAGCAAACCTGGGGACAAGAAAAAGGCCGGATTAGGGCAAGAATATATACAGTCTCATGGCTCCAGTAACTTTCAGAGCTGAGCTTCAGAATCCAGAACTTCCACACGCAGAAAAGCTTCAGACAGGGATAACTTCTGCATCATCAATAGCTCAGCTCTGTATAATTCTGAGAAACTACCCATGGCAAAAAGAAGCAGGTTTCGGCCTGGCTTCGTCCCGCCCCACAGCACATCTTGCAGATACTCTGCAAAACTTCCTCCTTCCAGTAAACAGACAGGGGCACGTCTAGAGGGGTCCCTGTCAAGCGACACAGATCGAGGCTGGGGATTTTTTCCACCTATTTGGTTGCATCACGTATACAAACACGAGGTTCTGAATGGCGAACAAAAGGGTGCGCTCTCCCACTCCCACGCTCTCCAAACCCCTTCTCAAGAGGCGGAACAGTCCGATTCACCAAAACGCACAAGGGATAGGTGGAACGGACACGATCAAGCAATTCTGCCAAAGCGAAGCAGTACTTCTCATCCTTTGAATTTGTATGTAAATATTGGGTGCTGCATCAGGAATACTTGGGGGCTGCTATGTGCCCACGTGCATGGAGAGTTAAGTGGTTTGATGGGCGAAATATTAGCCAGCTCTTGAGACTATTATCAGTTCAAGAGGCTGGTCAGGCAGTGCCTGGGCTTGTCCGAAGATCAACTCGGGCTTTTCTCCCAAAAGGTGATCCTGAAGCCCAAGGAAACCTATGCTGCGTTTATGCCACTCCTAAACAGACTCTTGACCGTGTTTGTGTGGGAGGAGAAAGGGAGGAGATTGGACTTATGCCCCGCCCTTCACTACCCAAAGGAGTCTCAGAGCGGCTTAAACTCCTTTCCCTTCCCCTCCCCACAACAGACAACCTGTGAGGTAAAAGAAGAAGAGATTGGATTTATACCCCCCGCCCTTCGCTACCCGAAGGAGTCTCAGAGCGGCTTACAAACTCCTTTCCCTTCCCCTCCCCACAACAAGCACCCTTGTGAGGTAGGTGGGGCTGAGAGAGCTGACAGAAACTGCTCTTTTCCCAAGAACAGCTCTTATCAGAACTACAGCTTGCCCAAGGTCATCCAGCAGGTGCAAGTGGAGGAGTTGGGGAATCAAACCCGGTTCTCCCAGAATAACCACTACACCAAACTGTGAACATGTCCCTGATTGAAGGAAGATTATGACTAATTCTTTGAAAATATTTGTTTTAGAGATTTATACCCCGCTTTCCTCCCCAACGGGGACCCCTAGTGGCTTAGATCATTCTCCCCTCTTCCATTTTATCCTTACAACAACCCTGTGAGGTAGGATAGACTGAGTGTGTCTGCCTGAGGCATGGTCACCTAAAAAGCATGAAGCCCAAAGAGGGAAATCCCTCAACGAGAATGTACAGATGCTAAACCAGGCTTACTTGCTTACTCAGAAATACACCCCTGGGACCAAAATGAACTTCAGCTCCTCAACGGGAGGACCTCGGGTGTCTGTAACGGTGGGGATGCTCTGCGTCTTCCAGGTGTTTCTATTTTCCGTTGCTCCGCAAACCTGGGGAGAAGAAAAGGGCCGGATTAGGGCAAGAATATATACAGTCTCATGGCTCCAGTAACTTTCAGAGCTGAGCTTCAGAATCCAGAACTTCCACACACAGAAAAGCTTCAGACAGGGATAACTTCTGCATCATCAATAGCTCAGCTCTGTATAATTCTGAGAAACTACCCATGGCAAAAAGAAGCAGGTTTCGGCCTGGTTTTGTCCTGCCCCACAGCACATTTTTGCGGATACTCTGCAAAACTTCCTCCATCCAGTGAACACACAGGGGCATGTCTTGAGGGGTACCTGTCAAGCGACACAGATCGTGGTGGGAGAGTTTCCACCTCTTGGGCTGCATGACATCTACAACCACGAGGTTCTCAATGGCGAACAAAAAGGTGCGCTCTCCCCCTCCCGCTTCCTCGAAACCCCTTCCCAAGAGGCAGCGCAGTCTGATTCCCCAAAACGCACAAGGGATAGGTGGAATGGACATGAACAGACAACCCTGCCAAAGCAAAGCAGGTGGATACATTCGGGGCCCGCAGGGGTGACTTAGAAACCCCTTGATGCTCTGCCACGGGGTCCACGGTGGAAGAAAACGGAAGGGCGAAGGTCCCTCTCGCAGCACAAAGGGATTCTTTGATTAACAGAGAGGCCACCTCTTGGCGCCCAAAGTCCCTCCCCCCCCAAGACAGCACACAACAAATTTAAAAGACTTAAAAAACAAGACCACTCAGTAAACAGACTACCGTGTAAACGTACGCTGGAATACATGGTTAGTTTCTCCAGTGCCACCAGACTCCTCCCGTTCCATTTCCAACACCGTGAAGGAGCACACTGTCGGAAGCCACGGAGACCTCGTCAGACCCTCCGCCCCTCACAGAGGCACGAAGCCAAGAGAGAGAGAGAAATCCCTCAACGAGAACGTACAGATGCTCAACCAGGCTTACTTGCTTACTCAGAAATGCACCCCTGTGACCAAAATGAACTTCAGCTCCTCAAGGGGAGGACCTCAGATGCCTGTCATGGTGGGGATGCTCTGTGTCTTCCAGTCGTTTCTATTTTTCGTTGCTCAGCAAACCTGGGGACAAGAAGGCGGCCGGATTAGGGCAAGAATATATACAGTCTCATGGCTCCAGTAACTTTCAGAGCTGAGCTTCAGAATCCAGAACTTCCACACACAGAAAAGCTTCAGACAGGGATAACTTCTGCATCATCAGTAGCTCAGTTCTGTATAATTCTGAGAAACTACCCATGGCAAAAAGAAGCAGGTTTCGGCCTGGCTTCGTCCCGCCCCCCAGCACATCTTGCAGATACTCTGCAAAACTTCCTCCTTCCAATAAACCGACATCTAGAGTAGATACGTAAAATTTCCAGAAATTTTGAAGCTTGGGCAAAAATCCGGAACTTTTTGAAAAAATTGCTACGTTAGCGCTTCTTTTTTCTTTTCCAGATTGAAAACCATTCTATTACTTTAGGAACATAAAATATGACTATGGACATTTTTACTTGGTATGAAATTATCAC